TGCATAATTACATCAAATTGAGACTAGATTTAAGGGGTGAGATTAATTTACTTTTTATTTTTTCTAATTTTTTAACAAACTCGTATCTTGTTTTAGTTTACATTTCAAATTTTTGCACAGATGGAACGAGCTTGTTGTGATCTAAAAACTGATATACAATTTTGTATCACCCATTACCACACTGGTACCACCTAGTAACTTCTTTTTTAACTCAAATTTTGGAAAATTTTGCACAGAAGAAACGAGTACATCGCGTTCTACAAATTTCTGGGCGGGAAAATTTCATGATCTAATATACCACTATAATATAATCTTATGTACTACCAAACATTGTCAGTATGGTATAAACTACGAATATATATAAATTTTTGTGTTCCAATGTCATTTGAATAGCACGGTTAAAATATTTTTTCTATGAAAAAAATAAACTACTTCTAAAAGTAAAAAATATCTTGTTAAATTTAATTGTGGAAGAAATTATTTATTTCCCATAAATTATGAATGAGATTATTGATATTTTATTCAAAATTGAGTTGTTGACTCGTGTTCGGTTATCCCATACAATGCAATCAAAATCGGGATTTTACCTAAAATCAAAAATTGGGGTAAAACATGAATCTTGAAATCTCTTCTTTCCTCCTCTGAACTAGGGTTTTCCTCCGATTTGATGGCGGCCGCTGCTGATGGTGCCCCATCGGGAGCCGTCGGTGGTGGTAGCCCTTGGGTTTCACTGTTTGGGATTGCTCCGGATAGTAGGTTGGATTATTACGAGCCTGAATTCATAGATGTAGCGCTAAGAATTCCGAAGTCGGTGATTGAAAAAGGGTCTAAGCGCTAGGCGAACAGCCTTGTTGGGCCATTCCTAGGGCAGCCTGCTTCAATTTCCTCTATCAGATTCTGGGCTAATTGGTTATGGGGAAGAGACGGAGAAGTGCGTACATCTAAGCTTGGTGACAAGCTCGTTCTGTTTCAGTTTCCGTCGGCTGCAATCTGCCAGTGGGTTTTTGAGGATGGTCTGTGGCATCATCGGGATAACATGTTATTTCTAAGGAAGTGGGAGCCAGGCATCCAGCCTCTCACGATTGACAATTCCAAAATTCCGGTGTGGGTACGAATTACTAATCTCCCGAATGAGTTTGCAAACAGGGAAGGTTTGGGTAGAATTGCCAGTTCGATTGGTCGGCCTCTGTGTATGGACGTCCCTAAAAGAAGGGGGACAAAGCTTGGGATTGTGAAGGTATGTGTTGAAATTTCTGGACAAGCTAAGCGAATTACTAAGCTTAATATGAAGCCTGATGAGATGAGTACTATATGGGTGAACTTGGAATATTCTAATATGTCTCTTTTGTGTGCTAAGTGTGGGGAATTTGGTCATGATTGTGCTGTTCCTGGGGGGTTCTAGCTAAAGAATGGAGAATTAAGAAGGTAGTGGAGGGAGCTTTAAACCCTGCAGGCATTGATAAGGGCAAAGGGGTGGTTCAGTGTGATGTTGAAGAGCCTAGTCAGTCTAGTGCGGCTCAGGGGGGTGCTATGCCCTCTCCTGGGATCATGAACACTGTGAGTGCGAGCTGTACACCGCCAACAAGCAATATCTCGCCTGTTGTGGATGCGGATGGGTTTACGCTTGTGGAAAATAGGAAAAGAAGAACCAATCAGGCAGTGGCTACTGGGGAGCACAGACAACCGTTCCTTGATGCAACTAATTTTCCATCTTTGCAGAAATCAGTTTCTAAAGCTCCACCTCTTCCTCCAACCAGGGGTCGAGGTAGGGGTAAGAAACGTGGGAAATGAAGATCCTAAGTTGGAATATCAGAGGTTTTAACACCTCTGATAAACAATTAGCTATGCTTCGTAGGTTGAGGCAGCTGAATATTGATATAACAGTACTAGAGACAAGAGTAGCAAATAGGGTTGGCAATGGGTCGGGTTGGGTACGGATAGTGGGTATCCAATCCCCGCCCGTTAAGATATCCGGGTATACCGAAACCCGCCCGAAGTAGGAGCATGGATAGTAAATCATATACCATGCCCGTACCCAAGCGGGTATCGGGTATACCCGAACGACCCACGGATACCCGCCGAGATCCCAATTGTTTTTTTTTTTTTTTTTACAGTTGTTCTTTCTTCCCTTTTTGTTCATAAAACAATGAACAAATCATAACAAAATAAAACCAAATATGAAATACGAACTAACATAATAATAAGTCTTTCACACAAATAAAATAACCCAAATCAAAAGGCTACATGTAAACCAAGTTCAAAATGTACAATAATAAAATTCCAGATTTCAACAAGTTTTTCAGCAAAAAAAGTTCAGCAGCAAAATTCCAGAAAAATTCCAATACACTCCAGCAACATTCCAGCAAACTCCAGCAGCAAAATTCCAGCAAAGAAGAAGATTTCCAGCAGAAAAAGTTCAGTAGCAAAATTCCAGAAAAAGTTCAGCACACTCCAGCAACACTCCAGCAAACTCCAGCAGAAAAATTCCAGCAGAGAAGAAGATTTCCAGCAGCAAATGTCCAGCAGCAACCCTCCAATAAATCCCAACAAAATTCCAGACAGATTCCAGCTGATTTCAGTTGATTCCAAAAAATTCCAGCAACAATATAACCTGCAAACAAGCAGATTTCCAGCAAAAAAAACTTCAAAAAAAATTCCAGAAACATTCCAGCAAACTCCAGACATATTCCAGCATATCCCAGAAAATTCCAGCAACAATATACCCAGCAAAAAGCAGATTTCCAGCAAAAGTACTTCAACAGCTATTTCCAGAAACATTCCAACAGCAAAACTCCAGCAGACTCTCAACACCAGAAACCATCATGCATTAATCTTCTATCAATTGGTAAGGTGCATTTTCATTCCCCAATGCTTGATCTTCATGGATAAACAAGAAAGAAGATACATGAGCATTTTCAATTGTCATATATAGTATACTATTAACATTATGACAGATTACTAACCTTCAATGTCATCTTCATGATCTTCATCATTGAGCAATGCACAAATCTCTTCCAAAGTTCCCGGATCGGCTAATAATTAATACAAGTGAATGAAGAGAAGTTATATAAAGATAACTAATATATTAATAAAAGCTATTGAATAAGATATATACCTATTGAAATTGAATTTTGCAGCCAACTTTTAGTACACATTAATGCCTCCATAGTGGTGTAGCCAAGTTTGCAACGATTAGGATTCAACACTCGACCACCGTTGCTAAAAGCCGATTCAGATGCAACAGAGGTAACAGGGACAGCAAGCATATCCCTCGCAATATCTTGCAAAATTGGATACTTAGCCCCATTCATCTTCCACCATAACAAGATGTCAAAGTCATTAGTCCAAGGTAAGACTTCCTCATTCAAATAATTGTCCAAATCAGTTTGAGTTGGTGTTCCTCTTGACTTTTTTTGTTGCTGTACAAATAGCTGAAAGTCGAGATCCACAGAGGAAGAACTACCAAGTGAGTGATCACTTGAACCACCAGAAGCAACCATGGCATTCTTATTCTGTTTAGCTTGATATTCCATGATTAAATCACTCAAAACAGCCCTGACTTTGTCCACATCCAAGACACACTGCCCCTTATCAAACTTCCGAGCATAATAATCCACAATATGAAGCTTGTATCTCGGGTCCAACACAACAGCCACAGCTAGTATTTCATGAATATAACCCCAATATTTTAAGAACTTATCCCACATCAATTCAGCCATCTTGGAAATCATAGCATTATCATCAACAAGCCACTCACAAAGTTTGAGCTTCAAATCACATATCTTTGGAAAGAATAGATTGGCTGTGGGATACTTGGTACCAGAGAACAAATTAGATATCTCACTGAAAATTTCCAACTTCCCACAAACAATCGATGCAAATGCCCAATGATCACTAGTAGGCAAACAAATATAGTGAGAGTTACGTTGCTTCAGCCTAACAAACACGTTTTGGTATGGTATGGCAGCAACAAGCATAAGATAAGTTGAATTCCAGCGAGTTGGACAATCCAAACTCAGCTTTTTATCACAAGAAAATCCCAATTGCTTTGCTGCCCCCTCAAATAACTCTACCCTCCTAGGTGTAGCAGTCCAATAAGATACACTTTCACGAATTGTTTCAATACCATCTCGAAGCACATCCAACCCATCTTTAACTATCAAGTTGAGAATATGTGCAGAACACCTCATATGTAGTAAAACACCCCTCTTAATCAAACAAGGCATCACCAATTTGTTCTTAACCTTCTCAATCATGGAATCATTAGTGCTACAGTTATCCAAGGTTATAGTTGATACCTTGGAATCGACATTCCAGTCCATCATACTGTCAAACAAAGCAGTGGCCAGCCTATCACTTGTGTGAGGAGTAGGAACATATGCGAACCTACAAAAAAACAGCATTTGTAAAATGTTAAGATAGTGACTCCTTCTCACAAAATAAACAAGATAGAATTCAAATTATATACTAAATAACATACCTAAGCAAGTGACTTCGAAGAATCCACGAATTGTCCACATAATGGGCTGTAACAGCCATGTAGCCCTTTTTCTGGTTGCTTGCCGTCCACATATCAGTTGTAATGGCAACCCTCCCTTTGTTACTACCAACCAATTTCATGATCCTACTCTTCTCACTATTATATATCTTAAAAATGTCGCTTCTGAGAGTATTCCGAGTAGGAACACTAAACAAGGGCGGGAGGCCAGATAAGAATCTCCTAAAGTACAAATGATCCACCATAGACAGGGAATAATCATGCATAAGAATGGCCATAACAAGATCTTGCCTCGAAACAACTTCATTAAATTGAGTAGCAACCATTTCTTTCTTTCCCTTAGTGACAAAGTTAGCACCAAGTACCTTTTGCTTCCCATCTTGAATCTTTCTTTGAATACAAGTCTTGATATGATTACTCAAGTGAGAGGTACCGTTATTAGATTCACCAGCAAGCAATTTCTTGCAATGACCGCATTTAGCTTTGATGAATTCTCCCTTTCTTATCTTTGTAAAGTGCTGCCACACATCACTCTTGAGATTTCCCAAATCAATAACCTCTTCATCATCAACAACAGGTGCGGGTTGTGGATTTTGTGCTTTTGGATTAGTACCGGCTGTAACATTCCGTCTCGGCTAAAATCGTATTACTGCCACTAGAAAAAAATTCACGATTTAAAATCGAGCATTTTGGCAGTATTTCGACGAAAATCGGATTATCAATCGATCGGATAAGTATACGTATTATATATATATATACATATATATATTATATATATGGGCCGCATATATATAAGCTCCCTGTCCATTTAATTCACATCATCATTGTCTATTTCCATTTTCCACCGAGAGAAGCAAAAACCAGAGCGAGCGGAGAGAGCGTACAGGGGAACGTCGGGGGAAAAACTCCAAGGCTCGATTCTTGAGCATAAGTGATCCAAAAATCCCGTAAGTTATGCCTAATCCATCCATTTATCGTGATTTATCGATTTAGAGCTTTAAAACGAGTTTTTGGTTCAGGAATTTCTCGAATTCCCGATAAGTCAAATTAGGGTTTCGGAGTATCCGGAAGCCGGATTGAGCCCAAATTTCATATACGAGCTTCCTGCGGCGAGGTAATCAATCCTCTAGTTCTAATCCCTAAATTTCGGCAATTATTTAGGTCGGGGTCCAAATCGCTGAATTTAGCTCCGGCCAGGGTTTGATGTGTTTTTATCGAGAATTTGACCCGGAGCCTAGAACTAATATTGACGGGGATACTGCAGGGGATATTAGGGTGGTCTCGGATTTTAATTCGGGGTTCGTTCGTGAAATTGACGTTTTAGTACGGAAAGGTTAAACCGGTGTTTGAACGACCAGAACTGGTGAGGGATTAGCACGGCATACCGGGTTTGTCGTATCACGATAATTATGTTGATGCTTAGAATTGACCTAGGTGAACTAGAATGGCATGATTAGGGGTGTATGAACTTTTGTGCTATATGTTGAACCCTGGATTCTGTATGATATTATTGACTTGCCCTAATCGATATGAAGCTTGTTTATGCTGATGATTTCGTATATGTTGCAAATTGTGGGCTTGACTGTTGATATGCCTTATGATGGTTCGAAAAGGTGATTAGGTATGACATTTCATGATTGATGTATTTGGATGTACAAGTGGGAAAATATATATCTCATGGTGATATTATGATATTTAAGGAGGATGACTTGCACGAGGGTTTATCCCGATGAAGTGCAATTATACGACTCCTGGTTTACCTATGTTGAGCCAATTATGGCCAGGTCAAGTACATGTGCAAGTAATGAATTATGATTAAGCAAGATGAGATATGAATCATATATAAGGATACCAAATATGAGTGTTGTGGTCTCACGGTCAACTACATAGTAATTAGGGCTCCCTATGCTATTACTCTATTATGATATGTATGATAGTCACACCCCTCATGTGGTGGTGACTGAAGATTTCTTACGAGATATGACCACACCCAGAGCGGTGTCGGGGTATGACTACACCCATAGTGGTGTGGGGTATGTATGACCACATCCGACGGGATGTTGGGGTATGTATGACTACATCCGACGGGATGTGGGGTATGTTTCCCGGGAGAGTTAATAGCATGGGAGTAGCCAGGCGCCTATAAGTAAAACATGATAAGATGCATATGCATAAGTCAATGTGGTTGAGTCTTTTGCCTATTGGGATGTCGGATGCCTGAGGTCTGATCCTAGTGCTTTGGCTTGTTTGCTAGATGTATGGTAGGGGTATGCTCTGTTATGAACTCACGATGCTATGATTATCTCACTCAGCTATGAGCTGACCCTCTTTTATTCTTCTTCTCTGCTTATGCTATGTGTAAGCAGATCATCATCAACAGCAGTAGATAGGTGTATAGGTGGGAGCTGAGCAAGAGTTGAAGGAAATATGAGGTATGGTCTTCAACTATTCTGTGCTTGGACTACTACTCGGGATTTTGGCCAGTGATCCACACCTTTTTGTAAAAATGTTTTGAGAACGTTTTTCATGTGCATACTAGCTTCTGATGTAGTGTGAGATATCCACAGGTGTGGAAAGTTTATGATATGTGTATATTGTGTAATTATGTAAGTTGTGATGATTATAGCATGTATCAGTATGGGTTGCAGTTGTGGAGTATGAAACTGTGACTATGGCTATGAAAAGCCAAGGCATATGGTTGTGAGTATATATGTTTGTGATGAATTATTTTGCAGGATAAGTTGCAAGAACTGTTAGCCCATTACGCGAGTAATTCATGTCGAAAATTTTATTTGGGTAAATTTTGATAATTAATGTAACACCCGAGATTAATTCCGCTGCAATTGTATGAACAATATGATTCGGCAAAACGTATAGGGTAGGGTGTTACAGTTTGGTATCAGAGCCCGGTTCCCTCTTTTTGTTGTTATGGCGTACTATACCCTATGGGAGGTTAAACACTCCTAAGGAGGGGAGTACCCCATAATGACTTAAATTGGGAATTGAGTTTGACATGATTATGTGTATTGGTATGTTGGATGAAATTACCTGCATCATGGTTTTCAAAATTGAGTTTTGAACTTATTTGTTTTCAAGTAATTATTTTGGGAAAAATTTGTTTTAACCAAGTGAGAGATTTGGTGAAGAATGAATTTTGTGTGGATCAATCTAAGGCCAATATTTCCTTATAGCTCGCACGGAAGTTGTCATAATGTTCCTACTGACCAGTCGAGAGGAGTGGGAGCGGTTGATGCAAGACCGCCAGTATTAGACTATGCAAAGATGAAGAGTTTGGGTGGTAGGGACTTTAAAGGAGATGTGAGTCCGGATGCTGTGCTAGAGTGGTTGAGGGAGATGGAAGATGTGTTTGAGTATCTTTATGCAACCCCAGAGGAAAAAGTACAATATGTTGTTTTTCTCCTAAAGGGGTACGCGAGGAGCTGGTGGTCCTCAGTCTCTAGAGTTAATGGTGAACGAGTTCAGTTCACCTGGGAGGAGTTCCTGAAGGCCTTTAAGACAGAGTTTCTTCCCGAAGCTTTTATCAGGGATAAGAATAATGAATTCGCCAACCTTAAGCAGGAGAATATGACAGTTACTGAGTACACCATCAAGTTTGTTCGATTACTCTACTTTGAAGATGGGTTGGCGGATACCGAGCATAAGAAGAAGATGAGATACTTGCATGGGCTGCGCCTAGGGTTGAAAGAAAAGATCCACAGGGTTGATGAAGAGAGTATGGCCACTATCAAGGAGGCAACACTTAAGTATGAAGCCTATGAAGTTGAGGGTAGAGAGGAAAACAAGGCCAAAGAAGAGGAGAAGAAGAGGAAGTTTGGAGTGAGTTATGCTGGACCTCGTTACCCACCCAGGAGAGGTCCTAGCAGTTTTGGGAGAACACCGAGTCAATCTATGTCGGGAACATCATACAGGGCACCAATTTCCTCAGCCACACAATTTCCATTTTGTCAAGTTTGTCAGAAGAGGCATCTTGGAGAGTGTAGGAGATTTTCTGGTATATGCTTTCACTGTGGCCAACCTGGGCACATCATGAGGGATTGTCCGCATTCGAGAGAAGTAAGAGCTACACAGTCCGAGCCTTCAGTGCAATTTAGTAGAGCCCCATTCAAGGGTGGTTACCAGGGAGGCCGTAGTGGATTTCAAAGTGGTCGTGGTGGTTCACAGGGTGGTAGAGGTGGTGGTCGAAATCAGCCATCAGGAAGTGGTACGCAGGGTACCAGAGCACAGGGAGCCCCGAGGGTTTATGCAATGACTCGAGGTGAGGCAGAAGTGGCACCAGAAGTTGTGACTGGTATGCTTTCTATCCTTGGCAAGCAATTATATGCTTTGATCGATACTGGTTCTTCTCACTCATTCATGTCATATACGTTTGCACATATGCTACGCTTAGTTCCAGATAAGCTAGGTTATACCTTATGTGTTAAAACACCCGTGGGAGAAACCTTGAAGGTAGACTCAGTTATTAGAAGTTCCTTCATTTGTGTGGAAGGAGCTTTCCTAGCAGCAGATTTAATTCTGCTACCTTTTGACGAATTTGATGTCATCCTTGGAATTGACTTTCTGGCAACACATGGAGCTGTTGTGGATTGTCAAAAGAAAGAAGTGTTATTCAACACACCAGATAAAGGTCCTGTTGTATTCAGATGCATTAAGAAAAAGGAGACTCATGGTTTTCTTTCTGCCTTGGAAGCTTTTCGATTAATGAAGGAAGGTTGTGAAGCCTTTCTTGCTCAAGTTACTGTTGTAAATGATAAGAAGGTTGAGGATGTAGAGGTGGTAAGGGAGTTTCCTGATGTATTCCCCAAAGAAGTTCCTGGCCTTCCACCAGAAAGGGAAGTAGAGTTTGATATTGAATTGGTACCTGGCACAACACCAATTTCAATGGCACCATATAGAATGGCACCAATTGAGCTGAAGGAGCTTAAGGAACAATTACAAGAATTGCTAGACAAGGGGTTTATTCGACCTAGCATCTCACCTTGGGGTGCACCGGTTTTGTTTGTCAAGAAGAAAGATGGATCCATGAGAATGTGCATTGACTACCGGAGGTTGAATAAAGCAACAGTGAAGAATCGTTATCCCCTTCCAAGAATAGACGACTTGTTTGATCAATTGCAGGGTGCATCAGTCTTTTCTAAGATTGATTTGAGGTCCGGGTACCATCAACTGAAAGTGGCAGATGGAGCGACCTCAAAGACAGCTTTTAGAACAAGATATGGGCATTATGAGTTCCTGGTAATGCCTTTTGGACTCACTAATGCGCCAGCAGTATTTATGGCACTTATGAACAGGGTTTTCCATGAATATCTTGATAAGTTTGTGATTGTGTTCATAGATGATATTCTCATCTATTCTAAAAGCGAAGAGGAGCACAAAAATCACCTTAGAATTGTATTGCAAATTCTAAGGGAGAAACAATTATATGCAAAATTCTCAAAATGTGAGTTTTGGCTGAAGGAGGTAATATTTATGGGACATGTAATTTCTGGAAGAGGAGTGGAGGTGGATCCGAAAAAGGTGGAAGCAGTGGTGAATTGGGCTCCACCAAAA